GTGATTTACATGATAGTTTCCACAACATAGAAGTGTAGCGCAAGTTTCTGCCCCAATTACGGGGGAATGGCATAACTCAGTCATACAAAATGTGTTAGTTAGAATGTGTTTTAAAATTGGTAAGGTAGTTTAATATTTTAATGTACACTACCGTAATACTGAAATCTGTAAGTTAATTATATGCATCCATTTTGCGTCACTTTACAGACAGTATAACTTCTGAAATACTTATCGGAAAGTATAAACAGTTTATTTACCTGCTATAAACATTGGTACAATAGATTGCATTTTCTTTCCAGACTCCAGACAGGCAATAGAAGTAATTTTTACTTTTATTGTGAATTACTATCACAATTTACAAAATATTCATAAGTCGGTTTTTGTTTTGTTTAAAAAAAATCCAAAGTATGTTTTTTTTTGTAAAATGAAAAGAACCAGTGCAGCATGCAAAGCACAGATTAGGGCTGGGTGGTTTTAATATTCATCATCATTTTGGTTATGTCACTGGAAAATTATTTAATTGTGAAACTCAAACCATTTAAACATTTCTTTTTTCTTTTTTAAGGAAAAAATAAAATATATAGTTCCCACTGGTGCACTAATAATGATGCCCTATGTTAATGCATAAGTCTTGGGACAGTCAATGCTACCATAGACTGTAGGAAAGACAGCCAGAGTCGCTTAGGGCCCCTCAACAATAACTGTAATTCTAATCCCTCCCCCATTTTGATTGTATTAACCCGCATTGGGTCACTTGTAAGTTTTTATTTAGAGGTTCCGGTTCAGGTTAAAGATGATGGGGACAGAAGGAACTCTTTCTGAGAAGACTTGAGTCCAAAACGGTACATTCCTGTACTCCTAATGGTGCATATTATGAGAACAATAGAGTGATTAACGTAATACTGTACTTTAAAAAGACAAAGGATTACCCAATAGTGCATTCTGTTGTTTAAAATTAAAGTTACAGTTATATGGCTTCATTAATAATAAAGTAATAGTAACTTCAGACCTATGTAGTACATTCTGGGTACGATCACCTACACACGAGATTACATCACTGCTCAGTGTTGGCTTAACTTAATTAACCTTATAAATTATGAAATAAACGTTTCATTTATTTAATATAAACATGCACGTATAAATAGTAAAGAAGTAATGACGTAGTGTAACTAATGGATACTTTACCTGCAATAACGAGTCGGCTATATCCCCGATTTCTGGATGATCAAAATGCAGAAGTTTGCTTCCAAATGAGTAATAATACGGTCCGATCTTGTGCAGGTCAACGACATTGGCATCTGCTTTCAAAATTTCTCGAAAACTGTCCTTGTACGTTTTCGGCATATCAACACTGACGAGTCTCCGTCTCCGTGTACATAGTGACGATGCCAACCAAAAAGGCAGCTCCAATTTTGTTCCCGGTTGAATAGTTGTGTTGTCTGTACTTGGATCGAGGAATCCAAGACGAAACAATGGCTGCTCCACTTTGCTCGGAATTTTCTCACAAGTCGCTATAATGTCATCGATACAGTAATAATTGTCACTGCTGCTACTATATCGAGTATACGGAATTTCCACTAAAGACATTTTGAAAAGACAATTCTACATCAGAGGCTTTTTTGTCAATTTGGTGATGTCAACAAATATGCCGCATAATCAATCGTCTCTCTGCTTGTTGAAACGAGCCGCCAAAATTGAATCCTGGGAAATGTCGTGTCAGGTGACTGGTAAACTTTGACCTCTTATTTAAAAATATGGTGACTCGCATGGCGAACACAATGTTTTGAGTATATGTCCTAATTATATATATATCTATTTTCATATTAGGCATGTGAGTGGTGTTATGCGAACATCCAGTCTTCACAACTACAGACATTTTTTGAAAATTGAATTTTTAAAACGATTTCTCATTGCATCAAGTATGACAAGTTGTGAAAGTTCCTCATCCACCATTCCCAGTCAAAGAAGACAGAGACACAGAGGAGGTCAGAAAAGTAAAAGGCGTGACCAAACAGAACAAGGGGTAACTCTAATCATTTACAGTATTTGTTTTACAAATCAATTTTTAATTTACAAGTGCGAGTGAATAACTATAGTATTATTAATTTAGTTAGCAATACCATATACAAAAGTATTAGGTAAAGTTACTATTAGTGTATCTTTTTTTAGTAATGCTGGTTTCGTGATTCCATGCATCATGACTGTCTCGAATTGGCCAATGGGCGTTATATGGTGTAACCTGGTTAAGTCCCAATATATGCAATAAATTTACCACAAATTAAGCTATGAATATTCACAGCAATAATTATTTAAATCATGACCATGTGATGGTTACATCATATAAACCACCAGCATGAAGCATTTTCTTGATTGGAACACATGTTGCCAACCTAGTAGACGTGCCACTTACAAATCAATATCAGGGGTGTATTGGTTTTGTCCAATCATGATAGAGATCAACTGATCGTGATTGTCTGTTCAATCACGCTCAGACACAGTCGTGATTCGTAATCATAACAATTATGCCCGGCACTATAATTTTTGGGCACAGATCTAGAAGCAGTACCTACACACGAATTGGTGACGTCATAAAATACATGACCTTCAATCGGGGTCGTTTCCTCGGTATATACGAATTGGTATATACAAATTACAATAAAGATACTTAAGACATTACACATAAGGTAAAACAAATCACGTGACAATATAATGATAATAACGGTAATAAATCCTACTAGCTTAACAGTTGAAGAGAACGCTCATATAGTCAGTCGGGTGACGCCGAGGGTCACGAACTGTGTTGCAAAATGGCCGTGTGGTTGAAACTGGGTCATGGCGTGACGCGTGAGGAAGACATCATTAAACACTCAAAATCACAATAAAACGGGGAAGTGGTTGCATATTACGGCGTAGCTAACATGGGAAATAAAAAAACGCCCAATACAAACGACATGGGTTCGAATCACACTAGATACACACTCACCAGAACCGAAGCAATCAGAAACCAGCAATCGTTTTGGCTTTTCCGTTCAACTCATCGGAACACTGGAGTAGTTAGAAAAATGAACACCACTTAACGACCAACGTCGTGGCGT